CGTTCAAAGCCCGGACCATGTTTTTCCGAAATATACCGGATATTTCGATAATTGCACTCTAAACCATTTTTTCCGAAATATTCCAAATATATTCATATTAGTATTTCTCGAAATATTCCGAAAATGGTAGGTGGTTACGATTTTTTCCGAAATATGGCAGTTAATCAATATTCCTGTTTCCGGAAAATGCCATCTTCGTGAGAAAAAAAAATCATTCGCGAATTTTTCGCGTCTCCATCGCCACGCCCTTTTGTTTGCAGCGTGCGCTCTGGAGCCATTGTGGCCGCCGCAGTTATGCTGTCAAACACGGTAGCCGCAATTCACTTATGTGCAGTACGTAGTGTCAAGTGCAAGCAATCATCGTCATTCGCCCTTGCCACGTGCGCTTGCCGACGATGTGCGGAACCTTGCAACAAGCTCCCTGGTCTTTCGCAGGTCTTTCGCGGATCTTTCGCGAAATTTGCTCCAAAATAGCCCAGCCAACGTTATTGATTTGCACCATTCCCAACACAGGCAGAGAATCAATAATCAATAATGCAAGTGTAGGTGCTGCGTATCTCCGTATCTACAAGGGAGCGGGGTCTGCAAATATGTAAGTGCACAAGCATACCTCCAAGAATCCAATGCGGAATCTTTCGCGGAAAAATAAGTTTCTTTCGCGAACTCCATCGTCAATCTTTCGCGGAGGGATTTAAGCCAAAACGAATGGTCCCCGAATACATAACTCCTTGCAAGCACCTTTTGATCAACCCCCATATCTAGAATATTACGGGAAATTAGTGCCTACAAATATGAAATTACTACATCTTCCGGTTTATCGCCGGGGTAACCCGCACAAATTTAGGGAAACGATCCATAAGAAATATAAAGCGGTTACATCTTCCAACGGCAACCCGGACCAATTCGAAAGAAAAACGGTCCGAAAAAATGCGCGCAAATGCGACGAGCAAATTTCACATAATCAATTTATAATCCATTAATAATACTAATTATCATTAATTAGAATAATTACAAATCGAAATTTATTTATATTTATATATAAAAAATGATTCATAAAATTAAAATAAATATTTCTATAATCTATATATATATTAGATAATTGAATTTATAAAATAAATAAATTTAATATTATAATTTAAAAATCGAATTATATTAAAATATATTATATTTAAAACTATATATTTATTTATAAATGATTTATATATATTGTGAATTATTAAATATAAAAAATATAAATATACATATATAATATTAAATATAAATAAATCAATAAATATTACTTAATTTTATAAAATATTTAAATTAAAAATAATATTAATATAATTATATTACAATAATATAAATCATTTATGTTTTTTAAATCAATATATTAAATATTTAAAACATAAATATTTTAAACATGTTAAATCTATTAAAATCATACCAAATATATATATATATATATTAAACCTATTAAACTATATTTTTCTATCTTATCTATATACATATATCAATAAATAATTAAACATAATTTATCATTATATAATTTAAATTATTAATTTCTAATATTATATTTTAATATATTTTCGACACCAAATATTTTATCAAATTATCCTAATCATAAAACAATAACCCAAAATAATTTCTTAACCCAAACTTAACATATTTCAATATAAATATACTAATTTAGTAAACTATATATAATTCAATCGCATTTTCGAAATCATTCCTTCTTTTATGCCAATAACAACGATCAATAAAAAACACCCAATTACAAAATATTTAATAGCGAAATATTTGTTCGAATTACCTATATGTTCAAACACATTTTGTTTTATAAGAAATTATATTTAAAGTGTGTGTGTGTGTGTGCGTGCGCGTGGAGCAAGCGATGGCAGGATGCGTGTTGCAGGGAGCACGGTGTGCGTGCCAGCTCAAGCAAGGGAACTGCGCACAAAACCAGCAAACGTATGCAACAGCGCGTGCGAACAGTGCCATGTTCATGCTCGGCTGGCTGGAATCGAGTCTGGGGGGGGGTGCGCGTGTCAGTGCAATCATACAAGCAGCGGCCTGCATGTGATGTAATCACACAGTGATGCATCCATCCGGAACACTTGCAAAGCAAGTAAGAACTCAAGCTTGCGACGCTAGCTTTCGTGGGCATCATTTTATGAAATGTAAACTGTGACATGTTGAGACGAATGAATCGCCTTTGGGGGCATCACAACTGCAAATTTCACGTCCAAAGTGCAACACGGCACAAATGCAAAGATACAACGAATTCAGCCGATGTGACACAAGGCAAGTTGACTAGTCCGCAACATCTCACACCTGCTTGGCGTCTGCGCTTCAAGACACTGATTGGGACCCTTTGGGCATTTACACGGGTTACTTCTGCCCAAACAAAATTGGCGGGTGTTCCTCAGATCCATAGCTTGTAGTGCAGAATCGGTGCGCCAACTTGCCGACTACAAGTACAGCGGCGGTTCAGGTCCTTGGGCCGGAAGGTCTCCGGTGCCATGGCTAAGTTATTGCAGCCTTTTCCTCGCCCACATAGGGGTTGCCCGTAACCCGAAATGGGGAAACCACCTGCAAAGGGGACCACTCCCTTCTATAAACCAAAACGGGGGAGAAGGATCCTCCTCCAGGAAACATGGACATACGAGTCAAACAGCTCTGGGGGCCGTGCCACAACCAAGAAGCCCGGGTAAGGAAGGCCTTGGCGAGGCATAGGCCATCCATGGAAACCCTTTGGACGACTTAGTTTGGAGGGCATTGGTTCCTATTCGACAAGCTCAACTCAATGGCAATCAAGATGGCACACATGCCCCTAACAATGGCAACAAGCAAAATCGCGCAGGGAAGGCTCATGGCGGGTATGCACGGTCCATAGTCTCCTCAACCCTCGTGTGCCAAGCTACCGGCAGTATGGGAATCTTTTTGGAACAGGCCGCATTAAACTTCTCCAGAGTTCCAAAGAATGGCCTTTATTTCTGGCAACCTAACACGTGGATCATTTTCCCCTCTTGCCTGAAACACTTGATGGTCAACGAAAACAAGACCGCACGCACGACTATTCAAGCTTGGCTGATGCCCTCATGCACGACTTTTGGGAAGCGCAAAATGCTTTCCTTTCCTGTCAACATTGTGCACAAAGGGGCCTCCAATGCTTGGCCCCGCAATTTTGTCCTGGCTGAAAACAATGCGAGGGTCTGCTGCTTGGCTTGGGTTTGGCTTGCTCTCTCCGTTTCTGGCCTAGCTTCACCTTTGAACTGTCCCTTAAACGCGGCGCGAATCCCAAATAGGGCCATGGTTGTGGAAGATCAGACTCACTTTGTATACATGGAATTCCCTTAGCATTACAGAACAAAGGCAACATCTAAAGCCACATACCAACCCTCATAATGACAAAGCTGTCCCATGACTTGACTTGACATGGCATTTCCTGGGTATGACATTTCATTAGGGGCCCTTTCATGCACATCATATAGGTGGGAATTCACGTCCACCAATCACTTTTCAGGGGGTTCCCAATTAAACAGGGATCCTTACAGTATACAACCGAACATTGCCTTGTAAATGGTGGTTTCATGTGGTTTCCCTTTATTTGGTGGAAAATTGAGAAAGCCATGTTTCAAATGCTTGCAACATGTCTCTTTTAAGGGGCCCTGTTAAAATCCATGGCATTTCCCGGGCACCGCCCAGCCGCGCCCGCGAAGCCGCGCCCGCGAAGCCGGCCTCGCCCATCACCAGCAGGTCGGGCTCCCGCCGCGTGCGGCCGGAGGCGAGGATCAAGGCCGGGTAGACCAGCAGCACTGCCCTCGGTCGAAGCCCAAGGGCTTGGGGTTTGGTCTTTTAGCCTTCAAAGGCCAGTGGTTTTTTTGTTGTTTTCTGTTTTTTGTTGTTCTTTTTTATCGCTTTTGCTCAAGGCGTTTTAATTTGCGAATATATCCCGTGACCAAAAAGAGACGACAGGTCCAGTGATAGATTCCTTTTGAAACCAACAGGGGCAAATAAAGCAATGCACATGGAAGTTTGTGAGTAGGGGTTTTCAGGTTTGATAATTTTCAGGCAATCAAAAGCACTCGTCTTATGACTTTAGATTTAATTTCGGCTCCTTGGCTCCCCGTGTTCGGTGAAAAGTTGAGTCAGACTCCGACCGCCGCAAAAAGTTCGCGTTTTGCCGGTTGAAAAGGGAACTGGGGGAAACACAGGTCTGAATCTGGCAATGGAAAGTTGATCTAGACTTGAAATCTGGTATCAACTTTGTTCTTTCCGTATAGCTCCTCACTATGGAAACATCATCCCGCCCAAAAGGACTCACTTGAATGTTCAGTGATCAATGACATGCATCGTGGGCCAGCGGGGTGTGCTCCTTTCTCTGGGGGTAGCAGAGTTCATTTGACCATTGCCCTTTGGGTAACAAAATTAGTGCCATGTTTTAGACCTTCAGTCTCATCCCTCAGGGAGACCATGGGTTTAAGTTGCAAGCCTTAGCTAAAACGGTCAACGGGCGGGTGGGTGGGCGCTGCTCACATGCGTTTTTGGAGTTTTGGTGCCCGCCGGGCTACAACTTTGTGAAGCCATTCTGAGGAGTGACCACCATAGCTTGGGAAAGCTTTGGCACCAGCCTAGGACTGACCAAAGACCAAACTGAGCGCAAGCTTGCTTCCCAACATCAAAGGTTGCTTTCTGCAGGCTGGTAGCCGCCACAGCTGATTGTGCAGACCCAGTAGTTGCTTTGTCTTCGGCCCTCCTGCAAACAAGCCCCAAACAAAGGTATCCCATGCTGCCCACCACATCTGTGGCCCCCAGCGGAACGCAGAGTAGCGGCAAGAGGATCGAGATGGCCCCTAGCCGCGCGAAGATGCCTAAGCTCAGGTCAGAAAAACAGTCACACGGCTGCGGGTCAAAACCCGGTACGCCTGGTGAACATCAAAATAGGTGGCAAAGGGATTTTCATCCACCCCAATATGGAGCCATGGGTTATGCCCCATGACATCTCTCTCAGCGCACTTTTTGCTGGGGCGTCTCCCTGCTTTCCCGCACACCGTACCTGCCCCAGTTGCAAACTAATGGCAAATCAAGCGAGTCTGCACACCTCATGAGAACCGGCGCATGACAGCCGGCAAGCAATTTCCATCTAAAGTTCTGAAGCGCAACTCAACTTGTCGCCCATTTCTTTCCGCGCCGCTGACGGCATAGCCTCCATGTGCGGCAAGTAGTTCTCGCCTGCCGCGAAATTTGGCCACCCGGCCATGGAGCTAAGATTCTTCGCCTTCCACTCGATGAGCACATCATGCAAGCTCAAGGTCGGCTGGGTAGACAAGTTCGCGGCAACGTCTTGGAATCGCTTCCAGTCGCGTGCCATGTGTCGTGACGCTTTGCGGCCTATGAGCGCGGAATGGGTGCTCAGAAGCCCTTGTAGCCGCTGCAGGTGCGGTGCTGCCAACGAGGAGTGGCCTTGGTGGTTATTGCGCCCCTGCCTTAAACTTGCGTTTTCCAAAACTACTTTTACAGCGACAATTCAAAAACATAGTAGCCAAGTGGCACAGTATCAGCAAGGACTGGGCCAAAGCTGTCACTGTCTGGCAATTGCATTGCTCCAGCGCATCATCCAAAACTTCACTCAGTGCTGTTACAACGCGAGTTGGGCAACCCGCTAGGAGATAAGCTTTAGCATATCCATTGTAGCAGATCAAATTCGGCTTAAGTCCAGCGCGGATAAACATATTCCAGAAATGCTCGACACGTTGAAGATCCGTCTGTGAAGCTGCAACGTCCAACAACGCCCCGAGGGTCACGCAGTTCAGCTCGACTTTGCCCGCATCCACGTTTTCTTTCGCCAGGACGGCGTCCACCTCATCATGATGCCTGTAATGCTCCAAGAATGCAACGTAGGTGCTGTGGGAAAGTGGGTCCCTCAAAAAGCTTAGACCCTGGCAGCTCCAAAGCTCCATACCCCATTCTTTTGCACTGGGGCAATCCATCTGGCGAGCCAGCTTTAAGGCGCTACTGAGACAGCAGTTGAAGTCATTTGGCCCTGATGCCCCTCTCGGCGGATCCACTTCCGTCCAAGTGTCTTGTGCCATTGCAAGCACCGCTGGCACACGCTGCGGAAGAACCTGCATTTTGCCCTTCCTCCTCAAGCAAAAGGCCAGGGAAGTCATAACAATGCTCAGCTCCACCGTTGACAGCCTCACACCTTTCTGCAGCTGAATCGCTCGCAATGCCACAAGCGTGTCCCACCAAAAACTCTGGCCGCACTTCTGCATTGCTGCTCCAATGACACTTGCTTCCATGACATTGTCTGTTGCAGCTTGCTCAACCAGATTCAGCAAGTGATTCGGACTTTTGCAGTGTTTTATCCGACCTCGGGCGCCTGACGCCTGATTGGACCTCCGCCTGTTGAGTCCTGCTGGTTGGTTGAGGAACTGGAGGTTGCGCCCATCGCGCCCAGTTGGGAGCTTGTGAGACGGCCGCCGCAGCATGCGCTGCCGCCGCGCGTCCGGCACTTGCTCAGGTCGCGAATGGCTCCGCATTGCCACAACACACGCTAAGAGCAAGCCAGCCCGGCCAGCTTGGGTGCCGCATTTGGCAAGGTGAGCCCCGTCAGTGGAGAGCGGGAGGGGCAAGCCATGCGGGGCTGGTGCCTTCAAAGGAAGATGGCAAGGGAACAGTTGCAACATGCTGCCTGTGCAAAGCTGCAGGTTGAATGCCTGGGGCCTGCGAAGCAAGAGTATCAATCGCTGAACGTGCATGCAGCAGCCCGGAGATGCTCAGCACCGCAACCAAGGTTGGGCAATCCACTATTTCAACATGTTTACTCAACTGTTGCTTCAAAGTGTCCTGTTGCTTCCTTTTGAGGGCGGCAAGGATTGAATTGTTTAAACACCCGTTGCTCACTTCTGAGCAACCCCTCAGCAAATCCTTCCAAGCTGCGCAGGTGGCTCGGAGCCAGCAGGATGCCGCACCTCGGTGCCCAATTCAGGCGCTTTGGCGCACGCGGGGGAATGTTTCTACTGTGCCGCAGAACTTCCCAGGGAACTCCAGGGCCAGTGTCTCCACTTCCATTTTTTGCAGCTCTGGCCAACTCACCAAAAAGGGCAACAGCTGTCTGCCGGTGTGCCCCAGGTCAAGCCCTCCTAGACAGTACGCTGAAGCCGCGATAGCTTCTTTCAGAGAACTCAGGAATTAGTCCCGGATTGCCTGACACCAGGAACCTGAATCATCTGTCAAAATTGTTGAAACTCAAAGGGTCTGGCCACATCCCAAGGTAAAGATTTACACTTGGGGAAGGCCTTGCCAGTCTATGGTTGGCACCATCCCCAACTGCCAGTCATGGAATACCCTGCCTCCAGATCTTTCAGGGATGGTGGATTCAATTGGGGGCTCAATATATTCCCAGGGGATACTCTGATATCCAGCGATTAATAGGGGAATTCCTTCGAAGAAAGGGGCCTTCACTAAGACTTTAAGATGTGACTCCCATCTTAAAAGCACAACTGGGGTTTGTCTCCGTCAGCTTGAAAGAGGTTTCCGGCATCCCCCGCTTGGGCAGCCCAAGTACGGATTATGAAAGAGCCTGGACAGCTGAGGGTTATGGCCCTGAGCATGATGAGCATCCGGCAGCATAAGCTTGAGCGAGTTGGAGACCAGGTTCTTTGCCACCAAATGGATGGACCGCTCGATCGCTTCCTGTCACCGGTGAAGCGAAGCCCACCGGTCCAATTTACATGGAACTCCTCACATCCGATCCCACAATAACCTTCCTCAAACCGTCATGTTAGGCGGGGTCATGTGATTACATGTTTAGGATGCGCCCTCTGTGCAGTCGCTGAAGCTGTTTGGTACTCCCTCGGGCTACCGCACAACACAGGTTCAAAAGCGAACGAGGAGGAAAACATAAAAAATGAAGTGACGAATGTTGCCTGCCTGGCCATGTGTAACGCCCTGGGTTAGAACAAAACTTTGCTTCAAGTATCTGTCTGGCTCCCCGGCCTCTGGCGAGTCCTTGCCCTTTGGATTCACATCGCTGACCTGGCCAACTGCTTTCGATCTTTCACTGGGCAGGCATGCGGCAAGCCCCGCGAGTCTCTTGGCACAAGGTACCTGCACTCTTGGGCTCCTAGGCTCACAGATTTAGGTTCTGCATACGGGGGCCCCAAAACCCGCAAGGTGGCCGTCCTTTTCAACTCCAAGTAGCACATGGTATACAGATACCGCCCACCTAAAGCAAAACATACAGCAAGGCAATGCCTGCACTCGTCTTTGGCCACCAACATGAGGACCAGGACTTCCAGGGATTTACTTTGTGTGGGTTGACAAACGGTGGGCCTGCAAGACGCCTTGGGGCCCCAGAACGCGCTCCCAAGAGTCAACACAAGTGCACCCACAAACGCCACAAACGCCCCGGAATATGCGGGAAACAACCACACGGAAGGCAAGAAAGCAAAGACATCTACATCACCTGAGACCTTGGAAATTCCAAAGAACCATCCCTCCCCGCCCTTGGCCTCAGAAATGCCTGAGCTTCGCGGCGCCTCAACTCGCAGTCACGAGTTGAGTGTTTGAGGAGGAAGCAAGGGGCTGCACCGTGCTGCCCACAAGTTCAATTGAAACCAAAGCTACCCTGGCTTTTGCCCAATGATGGTCAGTTTGCTGATACTTCGGGAGTCGCACCTTGTGGCATTGAAGTCTCTAGATTTTCCAGTGGCAAACAAGGAGCCCTGATCCATTGTACTATGCCAACCATTGTTCCAAAGGTCGGCTTTGAACAACCAGCCTCTGGCCCCTCTTAACGCAGAAGCCAAAGGGAGCCTCTTCAAACATCTTCAAATGGGAGGTTGCGACACAAGCTTGAACTGGCCCAACGCTGTCAACTGTATGCGCCGGCTCAGGGGGGACGCTCCGCACATAGAAAGATGGAAAGGATCCCGGGCGGCCCCCAGAGTTCAAAGCGCTCAATGGCGGACATTGAACCAAAGTGTTGCTCACTGAAAGCGATGGGCATCTGTTTGTGCTCGCTTGGGCACACCAAGCATTAGGGTCAAAGTACACGAACACCGGCGATGCTTATCTTTTGGAGGAAGTCGATGTACACCGTGATTCCCTTTGAAGTGCCTTTGCTTCGCGGAGTCGCCCTGCATCGGAGAGAGAGAGAGAGAGAGAGAGAGAGAGACAAAGTACACATGTTGCGTCCGGCTGCCACTCCTACTCTGACAAAGCTGTGCAGCTGAGCCTCGGGTTTCTGCTGTTGCTTTCATGGCTCACCCGCCCCTTGGCATGGGGCAGTTCTTTTCACAAAAGTGAAAATCATACTATAGAAACCGAAGTCTAGAGGGCACCACTGCCGAATTCCAATTGGGGGTGGGGGTGGGTAGGTGCAAGACTTAGCGCCAAGCACAGGCACAGTTCGTTCAAATGCCAACTTACAGGGGCACAGGTCAACAGCGGCAGCTGTTGACCTGAGGAAAAACGAATCTTCTCTGCCGCCACTACCCATGCTTTTGATTTTCCTTTGCTATCTGGGCATCTCAAAATCAGGAGCCAAAATCGCAACAGTTCAACTTTCTGTTGCTATCTGGGCATCTCAACATCCGGAACCAGAATCAAGTCAAATTGTCTGAAATCAGCAGCAAAAATCGCAACAGTTTAACTTTTAGTCTCTGAACCCCCTTCCATCAGCACTGCTGGCTGCCAGGGTTGCCCCTGGCCCCAGACCCAGACCCAGTCCCACCTGGACCTGCGGCGGCGCCGGCGCCGCCGCCCTGGGAGTTGCAAGCCGTGACGCGTTCGGCAATGAGAACGTACCTTCCATGTCGACCCTAGATGAAGACTTGGTTGAGCCATAGCAGGTGTCCCCTTTTCTGAGGGGAACACCGGGTTTATTCATCCGCGGTCGACGATAGTTGAAACCATCTGTGCTGTTGGCACCTGATATTTCACTTCGTGCAAAGGGTCCTTTTTAGCGCACATGGTTTTCGAAGGGGCAGCCCCTGATGAATAATGGGTTGGGGATCTGGGGGGAGCTCTTCATCATAGGTCAACGCTACCAAGCCTCCCCAACATATCCCGACATCGGCTACAAGCATGACAAGCCCTAGGTAGAGCAACACAGTGCTCATAAGAAGCCTCGCATCAAAGTAAATGGCCCTCCACCAATTTTGAAGGCCACATAACCCAGCTGTATAGTAGTGTTTCTTTTTTAACACACATTGTGGTGATCATCTTGAGCGGGGCTCGCCTTTGCACATGGGGCCAGGAGTGCTTTTCATCTGCGCGTGAATTCGGAAACTATATTTCCACGCGGCAAGGCTTTGCGGCAGCCTGCCTCCCAAAACCAAACAAGCATTTATGCTCGAAACTCACAACCGAGCTAGGTAGGGTTGCGACCCTAAGCTTGCTCGCTTCGCGCTCGGTTCGTGCTTGTGCTTGCTTAGTGCTCGGTTCGTGCTCAATTGGTGCTCTGCTCTGCCGGCTCGCGCTCTGTTCGTGCTGCTTGGGTTGTGCTCAGGTGGCGCTCTGCTTGGGAGGCTCGTATTTGGATCGGGCCCGGTTCGGCCCGCTTCGTGCCCGGTTCGAGCCCGGTTCGTGCACGGATCGCGCACGGATCGCGCACGGATCGCACGGATCGTGCCCGGTTCGTGTCCGGTTTGCCCGGCTCATGCCCGGTTCGTGCTCGGTTCGTGCCCGGTTCGCGCCCGGTTCGTGCCCGGTTTGCGCCCGGTTCGTGCACGGATCGCGCGCGGATCGTGCACGGATCGCACCCGGTTCGTGCCTGGTTCGTGCCCGGTTCGTGCCCGGCTCATGCCCGGTTCGTGCTCGGTTCGTGCCCGGTTCGTGCCCGGTTCGCGCCCAGTTCGTTAACGGTTCGTGCACGGTTCGCGCCCGGTTCGTGCACGGATCGCGCACGGACCGCGCACGGTTCGCGCCCGGCTCGTGCCCGGTTCGTGCCCGGTTCGTGCCCGGTTCGTGCCCGGTTCGTGCCCGGTTCGTGCCCGGCTCATGCCCGGTTCGTGCCCGGCTCATGCCCGGTTCGTGCCCGGTTTGTGCCCGGTTCGTGCCCGGCTCGTGCTCGGTTTTTGCTGCGAGGCTCATGCTAGTTTGAGCTTTGCCTTGGCGAACGGCTTCCCCATAGCAATAAATGGGGTACCCCCCTTCCCCCCTTTAATCAATATTCCCTGGGGCAAAAAAAACTATTGATTGGGTACCACAAGGGCGCTGCAGTTCAATCTGATTTGCTCACTCTAGATTTGAATTTGCAATTTGATAATTCAAACGTAAATGCAATCGTAAGTCAAGCCTGGTTTGGAGAGCTAATAAGTTCAGGTCTGGACGAGGGGTCCGCGAAAAACAAATAAATGATAGAGCGCATTCTTGATAGGGGGAAGTCATTGGCAGCTCAGCCTAGAGCCTTTGAGAAATCTGGCGTGTTACGGAAAACGCCGCAATCCGGCCACCAGCCCCCCCACCCCCCTTCCTTTGTTATAACAACCCCAATGGAAAACAATGGACACGTGGACTCAGAATTGAGCCTAGGGAGGGGGGGGGAGGGGGCAACTCCAGAAATCACGGCGTTTTCTGTAACACCTCAGCATTGCGTATCTTGAGCCGGGCGCTGTTTGTAAGATTGTTGTGGGGAGCCTGTTCAACCCAGTGTCCCGGCAAACACAAAGTTCGGTTGTTAGTTTCACGCTAAATGCGTCTGCGCCAATGTGCTTGGAGCTGGGCGGCCATGGCAAATAGATCTTTGTAGGGCTTTTCAATTCCAAGTCTGGGG